CCTGTTGCGACTTTCCACCATTCCCCCCGGTTCTGTCCCTAATGACCTGTCCTGCAGCACAGCCCCGCTGCTGCAGAGAGCCTGGGGCGCTCAGCAGTCCTGAGCACCTGGTAGCCCTAGGGCAGGCACAGGTAAGTCCCAGAGTCTCTCGGGATGCCTGTATGGAGGTAACTTCCATATTGCTGATTTGAGGGCAAAAAAAACCCCAACCCCCAAAAAAACCCCCAAATGCAAAACAGTTATTCAAAAATATATCTTTATTTTTTTTCAGTTTATCAGCTATTTAAATAATTCAGTTAAAATAGGTTTTATTGCACATCAGACAACCTTTCTGGATTCTTGCTGTCCTATATAAAATAAACTTATACAGAGAAAGAAAAAGAGAGACTTTCTTACGCTTACACACACACACACATGCTCTGAATCACTCTTGCTCTTCAAAAGCCCCAAGCAGCCAGCCCGGGGTAGGCTATCTTCATCCTCAACACCTCCACAGTGTGCGCGCTAGGCAGCTAAGAATCAGTGGTGCAGGACTGGGAGCAAGGGAAGGGTGCAGCCACCGCAGCGGGGGGCTCTGGGACGTGCCTCCACGAGCACCCACAGGCGGCAGCCTCTGGCCTGCCCGCGGTGCGGGTCCGGCACCGTGCACAGGAGGCAAAACGCGGGTGTCAGTGCAGCACGTGGGATGGAAGGGACGTGAGAACTGTGGATAATGTACTGCTGGGGGTGGCGTATCCCCCTTTGGCTTTGTGCGGAGCCTGGGCCAGCTCCAGCCCCTCCCTGGCACTGCCGCTCCGGGCGGTGACCCGGGTGGCTGCGGGAGGGAAACCCTTACCCAGGGCTGAGCAGGGAAATTGAGTCTTCTGGGAAGTCACATGTGGGGAAGGCCATATGCTGCTTAACGACCTCCTCCGAGGTTACATTTAACGGCAGGCTGGAGCAATGTAAAAAGAAACGGGCTTGCAGAGTATGCACTATTGTGATCTGAATTAGATTTCATGCCCTTTTCAGATGATTCTTTTGGGATGGCTTAGGCTCTCCTACTCAAGCTGTGTAATAACTTGCTCCACATGCCCATCTATGGCTATCCTAATTTTTTATCTCAGAATAGAGAGCTCCTCGGGCCACCTTTGGAATTGGGTTCCTAATCAAAATGCAGTTTGAGAGCTTTCCTTTTATCCCTGTTGTGCTCTTCCCAAATCTCTGTCATGCCCTTCCTACAAACGTCATGCTGCTTCCTGAAAGTCCCGGGTTTTTCCCACAAGTCAAGCCACACAGCAGAGAGCAATTAGCGTTAATACTCAATGTGGCATCAACCTCCTCCTGTGGAGTAACTCCTGCCCACATGCGATGGGGTGTGTGCAGTTGGTTGCTAATGGATGCCTCCATCTGGCAAGACATCCCAGCCCAGTGCCACGTCCTGCTCCAGCCATCTCCTGCAATGATTAACTCAAGAACTGATGTTGCTCGAAGTTCCTGAGCCCTTGGCTTTTGCATCTGAGCTTTGCTCAGAGAAGCTTTGACTGCAAGTTCAACCCCTGGATAAGGGTCTGGCTTGACAGCCCTTCAGTGCTCGTTTAGACGCGTGCCTTTCACCCCTGGACACGTGGGTCCAGCACCCACCTCTGATTTTGGCACATGGATGGGTAGATAAATAAGCGTCAGTGTTGCCCAACCTCCAGCGTATCGGGCAGCTGCTCCGTGAACGCAGTCTACTGTAATTGGGCGGGGGAGTCCTGGGCAAGGGGCTGTCCGGGGGCAGCGGCAGGCGGAGGGCCGTGTTGAAGGTGGGCAGGTCCTCGTCGATGCAGACGGGGTTATCGTGGCCCTGCTGCTCCAGGTCGCTGGACTGCGGAGGCTTCCCTGACCGGTCCCTCTTTCGGTTGTTCCACCATTTTTTTGCCTTTTGCCACTGGCGCCGCATTACGATGGAAAGCGAATCGATGAAGAAGACCTCGATGATCTCGATGACGCAAACGACTGAGCAGCTCATCCAAAGGCCCAGCTGGCCTCCAAAGTTGGAAAGAAGGATGACAAGCTGAAAGAGAAGACAGCGCAAGGTTATCGGCTCCCCG